GTTGTCGTTGTGGAGTCTCAGTAGTTGGGAATTAGTTTAAAACAAGTTTATTATAATTGGTACTCTTGGGGTCCCTTTCCAAGACAATGTAGTTTAATCGACAGGTTAACTAAGACTATACTCGTCTTAAGGTTTTACTGAGACTATGCTCATCATTTAACGTTTTACTGAGACTAATTCTAAATAGTTATTCTACTTACAAAGTTAATTCTTATTGGGAGTAGGGCTTTGTATATATTGATGATTAAGCGTTCCCACGGGAATCGGCCTTGGTGGTTTTGTTTATTATAAGACCGGGACAAATTCCTATGCATTTGTTTATATGAAAAAGATGATCGATTACGATTGTACATGTAACGATCATTATGTGTTTATAATAAGGACTTGAATTCGGAGTAAAGGTATAGGAGTATCGATGGAATGTTCGTGGCCCTTTGTTTATATTAAAGTGTATCGAACTGGGAATCACGGTAGAGATTCCTTTATGCTAATGTTTATATAATAATGCGACTAAGAGACGCCTGGATGTCTCTAATTCGTTAATACACTATACTAATAATAATAATTACAATAATAATGGTTGGACACAACAAATTATATAATTCAAAAAAATGTATTACATTATATTTTATAATAATAATAATTTATTGGTCAGATATCAATACAAAAAAAAGTATATTCTATAAATAGATAAATGATAATAATAATAATAAAAACACTAAATAATAATATAACTCTCAAAATAAATATATTCTTACATAAATTAAAAAATATTGATAGGCTGGCCAAAGGGCTAAGGACCGAGGTCTTTCCGCCCATTATATTTTATTAATATCGAATCTACAATAAATCCAATATTAAGAAACATAATTAATAGAAGAGAATAGACCGTTATGTATCTGTAAAATAATAAGCTGTTGACTTAAATTATATTGACAATTTATCTGTCAATTTGCAAATCAAATGCAATAACTTCAATGTTATCATGAAATTGCCGTCAATTGTTATACGATACCAAAATACAAACAGTTATTCTACATCGTAAAGCTATAGTAGTAGCATTCTTCTATTGAAATAGTTTGTTCTTTAAATATTGAATGTTTCATCACGATGCTGAGATTTTTGTTGACAAATAACTTGACACTTCAATTTCGTATTGTCTGACATTGTCAAAGCTTGGAGGTGTCAATTGTAACAGTCAATAAGATAATTCCAAGTGCAAACACACAGCCTTTCACGAAAAGATAAATATTCAATACGGCAATCTTATCAATCATTAAATAAATACACAAACATCAATATATCAAAACCAAATCATACTTTTTTTCTTGGATTGCTGCGCACTGATAAATGAAACTTAATACAGTATAGTACTGCGAATTCATTTGTTTATATGTTAGATCATGTTACCATGTTATAATAGTTCTACGAATGCAAAAGTTTAAATGATGCATTAAATTTCCTTTCGGGAATTTCGTATCAATAAAACTTGGATTTGGATTAACATTGTTCAGGAAGGGTTAGTGTTTTGGATGAAATGAAAGAAAAACGAACGTTGTATGTATATTTATATAATTATATATAGAGAGTGCATTTTACAAATGTTAATACATACAGTGTTTTTTTGTTTATTCCTTGTTCATTCACCTACTAAAGTATAACAAAGACGCTTTAAAAATAATAAGGAAGAAATAATAAGAAACGTTGACGCCTAAAAGAAAACATAATTACATAAACTAATATAATTAATAAAAACTAATAGCATGACGTGATGTACTTCCATTTCTTCAGTTTCGGCACATATTTTTTATTTTTTTTTGTTCCTTGCACATATTTTTTTGTTTTGTTTGTTATATTTCGTTTTTTTTTAAATAATAAATAAATAATTATTAATAATAATAATATAAAAAAATCAGACTTTGTAAAAAAAAGAAAATATTATTAAATATATTTATAGGAAAACGTAATTCAGGATTTAAATTGTTCTTTCTCTTAAACCAGATTTTTTTTTGTTTTTCTCTGTTCTACATACTAAAGGATATTTGTTTCATTGTTACAGCGAAGTCACCAAAACAAAAAAAACCTCTTCGTCGTGTCCTTCCATCTTAAAGACTCTACACAATTTCATCAATCAATCATTTTAGTTCTTCCTCTTGCAACAATATTATTTGTTTTTTTCTTCTTGTATCTCTCTCTCTTCTTAATTATTATATTTAAATTTTCGTGATCCTTTCGTAATAAATCTTTTTTCTCCGGGGTTTCCTTATTGTTCTCTCAACATCTAATTTACACAACATTTTAAAAAATAACCCCAAAAAGAAAAACGAACGAAATTATCAATTAATAATATCAATAGATCTCGATATTAAAAAATATATTGAAGTACAGTGTCTATAATATATTTATTTTATTTCGTAATGCACTGCAATTTTTAATTCATCTTGTATTGAACACTAATTCTTCTTCCGTTAATCTTCTCTATATTCACATTTTGTAATTTTAAAACAAGACCATTCTTTTTTTTCTTGTAATTGTTGTATACTTTTTTTTAGAACAATATTTTTTTGGAGAGAGACTGCACTGACGGAATTTCTGTTTTCTTCTTCAACATCCTCTTTTACTCATCATCATGTAGTATAAATAAATTAGTTATAAAGAGATTTGTTATCATCGGCAATGTCTTTTATCATCACTATGGTCAATAATTAAAATTACATTGATTACAATGTTAGAACTACGGCCTACACACGTCGAACCACTTTTCTGGTGCTTTCACTTCGAAAAATCATCGATGTCATATAAATATATACACATGAACGAACAAAAAAAAAAACAAAATTATATAAATATGTACACTTTTTTCTTCATTTTTTAAAATAGTACTAATTAATAGTGGATGGCGCGAATTAAAAAAGGTAAACAATACATTAAAAAAAAAACTGTAATAGTAATAATACATAATATAATAGGAATCGATTTATATACAATACGTTTTCTGTCATCGATTCGTTTGTTTTTTATTTCTCTCTTTTGCTTTTTTCGTTGTGGATAAATAATTGCAAACACAATTTCGCAAGGGCATACTTAAAATAAGTAAAATTGCAATAAATTAAGTCTAAATTAAGATCTAGTAGTTGAGTTCGGAGATGCTCGAGATGAATTAAAAGGAAAAATTATTAATACTAAAATGTCGAAATTCGACTATGGAGTAAGTGTATAATAATAATAAATAATGGTCCTGGTGCTAATTATAATAATTAAAAAAATAGTAGTAAACAAGAAAAAAATACAAAATGTATAGAAGGTTTTTGAAATGTCACACACGTATCACAGTAAAAAGCATTTCATCAAATTGCATCTCGTACAAAAATAAATGGCAAGATTACAAAACGAAATTTCTTCCTTGAAAATGAATTTTTTGATGTCGTTTCTTTTATTTTCTTGTTTTGTTTCGAAAAGGAGATATGTTTTCCTGAGATATATATTCAATTATAGTACGAAACCTGAGTTGGAATAGTTTTAGAAAACATAATTAAGTACACAAAGATTTGTTCCGTTAAAATTGCGCGCACGCTTATTATTTTATTTAAATAGCCCTAAAACGAAAAGAATCATTCATTATTTTTTTTCTTTCTTCTTTTATTATTCCAGACCATCATCATATCATCAAAGCGAAAGCACCAGCCCTAAGAACTATTTCGTATTTTTTTGTTGTTGTTGTAATATTTTTTCCTCAATAATAATACTCATATATATAATATATAATAATATAACACAATAAAAACTAATTTTTCAGTCTTTCACAGTTATACAAATACATTTTTTTGTTGTTGTTGTCACCGACACACATTGTCCTTTACTGTTGAGTGCTTCGTGGCGCGAAGGGCGGGAGGTGGGGTTTCAGTTCCGTAAAAACAAAAACATTGCAAAATTTGGGGGGCGGGGGTGGAGTTTTAAACATATACACGTCTCGAATTGGTCCTTAATACAAGTGCGGCCGGGGCCGGCGTTCCTTCGGGTATTTACTTTTTTTTGCCTTTTTTTGTTTAATTCGTATTTGCTGGGAACAAATAGTTCTAGGGAAAGCGAAAAGGAAAATGGAAAACCAATTACTCTGCGCGTTGCAGTGGTTCCAATTTTCTTTTCGCTTAAATAATGTATAATTATTATTTTTTTTGTTGTTGTTTTGTTTTCTTCTTGCTAACGTGATTTTCATCGCAGTGCCAGCACCAGTGGCATAGCACCTAGCAGCACTAAATTCAATTTTAAATTACTACCACCTAGAGTAAGTTCTTCACTTTTGACGACTTCGTTGGGGTGCTTGTGGTAGGTTTTGGACTTCTTCGTGGTCGTCGGCGGTTTCGTGGTCGTCGTGGTTGTCGTCATGATATAGGTGGTGCGTTGTGGTGGCACTTGCGAGGACCAGATCGGTCTTGCAACGCTCACCGGAGATCTTGTTGTTGGTTCGTGCGTCGGTGCCCACACCTTGAAGACGATCTTCATGTTGTGCGTCGTGCACTTGCCGCCGATCCTCCGGTGCAGGTCGTCCGCCGTGGACGTGGATATGAAGTAGTAATCCTTTCCAGGTGTGAACTCCAGACCACCGGGCTGCGGCGTAAACGGCCTGAAGGTGATCGTGAAGTACATCAGCTTGAAGGGTTTATCGCAGACGGCGATTATCCTGGGGTTCGGATTCGTGATCCGGCACGTGTCGAACTCATCCTTGGACACGTTGTATATGATGTACTTCTCCATCTCGTCCTCCTTCGTCTCGGGCATGTACACCGGGCAGATCAGGTTTACCTGGTCGTACTCAAACTTTGTGTTATCCTTGTTTACGTCGATCACGTTGTCCGTATTGTCGATGCGAAAGATCGGGTTCGAGGAGTTCCAATGGATTACGTACTCCTTGGCGCCGTTTGGCATCACCGCAGAGCATCCTCCGAGCCACAAACAGATCACCACGATCCATCCCAAAGCCATACCACTACAACGTTGCCAACTCATTGCACTTAAGTCGCTTGGAATTCCTCGCATTTACATTCTCTCAAAACCAAAAAACGGACCTGAAAACAAAAACAAACATTAGTCATCTTCGCAATATACGTATAAACTTAAATTCTAAGCAGAAAATGATATTAAATTTGAATGTTACTTTTTGGAAGTACATATATTGAAACTTTATTATTGTTCTTGTAACCAAAATTGGATGCCTAATTCAATCGCAAAAATGAATCCAATGACAAACATTGAACAACTTTGCATTAAACGTGCAAACATAGACGTGAGCGTACATGACTCATCGTGTTATTTTCGTGATATCAGAGCCCTGCTAATGTGTTTAACCTTAATTTTACCTATGACCCCGTTACAGGGTCTTGTGTGAAACTAAATGAAAAATTGTATATGTTAATTTTTATTAACCTTGTATTATTATTACCACGAGGAGACCAATAATTTATTTAGAAGGAACATTAGAGAAGAAATCATCATCATCAATACTGATGAAACATTAAAGCACATCAAATAATTGAAGAATGGAAAGTAATTTAACGAAAATACCCGAAACGAGCATTATATACGTGCTGCATGTTTTATTCTACACGATGGAAATGCAAAACACAAAACCACACACTATTTACGACGGTCGTATTTCTCGATTTTATTAGTCGTAAACAAATTTCATTTAAAATGGCAAATATTAATTCGCAGCAACAACAATAAAACGAAAAGGGAAAAGCGCGAAAAGTTCACCACCGACGACCGAAGGAAGCAAAAGAATAGCGAGAAGAACGCGTTTAATGTTCATGAAGTAAAGTATCCATACTTGATCTTTAAACTTATGAAAATTAAATTACATGATTTATGAAATATAAACCAAAACCATATGCACTATTATTACATGGAGTAACTTCATTCATTAAAAATATAATATTTCTTTTTAAATTTAATATGGTGTTCTTGAAAGAGTAGTTTTTATTCAGATTCTTGTATTTTTAGAATTAGTTTACTGTTCTTGTAACTTAAATATATATGAGAATTCAAGACTTTCAATATCAGTTATTAAAAAAATATAACTATATAAGAGTAAATATGTTTTTTTTTGTAAAGTTTTAATATAATTTATGGTTCTGGTAATAAAAAATAAAGTTATTGGAATGCTTCATTTTTGTTTTTAGTAACCAAAATTGAAAACTAAATTTAACAGTAAACGTCAGCATATAAAAAAAAACATGTTAGAATATTTAACGTAACGCGATATTGATCAGTCCATGTAAAAATAATGTTGTTTTGCTAAAGTTAATTTAGAAAATTGGTGAAAATAATGGCAATAAAAAGTGATCACCGAGTCGACAAATCGGAGCGATTTTCGGAACGTACGAAGGTGGACGGGAAAAATTATGAAAATTGTTTTCGTCTGGCGGAAAGTTTTCCCTTTAGCCCAGTATCGCCACTTGACCCATTTTTCCACTTGGAAAAATAATACACCGAAGTATGGAATTTCTAGTAAAAATGCAAAATTTATATATTTATTGCAGACGTCAAAGTTGCCTACATATAAATGCAATATGTGTATTGCATATTTTATTGGTATTTACGGGATGAAATTTTTTGGCTGGGTAAAACCATCCTCGGACATTTATTATTTAGATTAAAGCCGACTCTGTTAATGGATTTTTTTTCAAATACCATTTTCCGTGCGTATGGTAAGCGGATTTGATGAACAAAATTTATGAAGTAGATAGCGTACGAGACATATAGGATGGGAGAGAGAAACGGACATAAAAGGTCGTAATAAGAGCTCAGACAATTTTAATATTTAATATAATAGTGGATGATGATATAATTACGGTAGAGACTGGATTATGTATTAAAATGAGATGGACAGTAACTACGTATCACCTTTAAAGTTACATTTCCAGTTTTATGATTCTTACAAACATAAAACAGTTAAATGCAGTATTATTATCTAGTGAATCGTAGGAAATGAGTCAGTGGAGAGATGTACATAGGGGCTTTGATTATGTGTGAATTAGGGAACAAAGTGCATGAAATGTATTAACGCAATTAAAAGATTAACAACATAATTTAATTTGATCCTGAATTTTTGATGGAGTTCATTATTGGTAATTGGGAATATTAAAAATGCAGAAGGGCCGCAGCCATTAATAATGGCAGAAGACTGACGACTCGACGTCGCATTATCTATTTAAGCGCGAAACATATTAAATATCTATAAATACACTCGATCGAAACGAACAATGCAAGTAAGCAGAAGCAGAGAAGCAAGGAAGGTATAATAATAATAAAAAAAAAGAATGAGAACAAAATCAACAATGGAGGGAACACCGTCATTTGGTAAATGGTGAAAATTGCTTCTTTCATTTAATTTTCATGAACGGAGAAGTAAATAATAGAGAAGAGACTATTTTTTCTTGCTTCGTGCATTAATGTTAAATGCATGTCCGGTTGTCAGACTTTGGTATTAGTGTCAACATTCAATTTGTGTAACCGTTCTTCAAAGTGCGTTTGCAATACGAGAAGAAGAAAAAAAATGGAACATGCTTCTGAGTAGTCTATTATTAGAGCTTTCAGACAGAATAAGAAAATTCAGTTATACTTCTTTTAAAGGAAGTAACATTTACAAAACCAGTAAAACTAAAGTGAAGCCTAGACATTTTTTTTATAATTGTTCATTGTAGTTTTAGATGTCATTGGCAGATAAGATGCGAAAAAGATCTGTACATTAGTTATGTTTGTCAGGATATAATAACACACATAAGTCAATAAAAGCGTTTGGTTTACCTACATGAAAAAGATCAAGGTACGTACTTTTGATATAAGGCGCCCACAATAATATTGTAGTTTGTCGACATTGATGTTTAATTTATTGATATAGTTAGTTTTAAATAACGTATATCTGTCTACTAACTAAACCTTGCCAAATGAAAAAAAAAGCGTAAGCGCTTATGACATAAGTTACATACATTAATGTTAATTGCTTGTCCGGGTGACAGACTTTGGCATAAGCGACATTGTCAACAATGACGTTTAATTTATGAAACGGTTCTTCAAGTGCGCATGCATTACGAAGTTTAAAAAAAGGAATCACTCAACGTAATATTTCTTTTAGGAACGTCTATTTTTAGAATTGGGAAAAATTAGGAATGGATTTAAATGGTGGACCTCTGAAACGTGTCTCTTCCACGGAGATACCAAAATTCCTACATGGAACGGCAATAAAAAGTGTCGAGTTACTGGGTGTCACATGAACCTAATTTTAGTCAAAAATGTTAAGCCACCCTTAAAAAGGGGACCGGATGCGCGCTTCTCTCGGATGTGGGGGGCTGCAAAATAATCCACGGTTGCCAAAAGAAAAAAAATGTGGTATATATTTAATCTATATAACGAAGGGAAGAGAAGAGAACTCGAGGGGTTGGTAATGCGAAACTAGACGGTTGATAGTGTATTCTGCTTAATTGTTTGCCGTATTTATTCCTGGCATATTCGAAAATAAATATTTATCCATTTCTAATTTCTTTGTCTCCGGGGTTCGCTTTCGCCGTCCCTCGAGGACCAAAGGTAAAATTATAATCCACTCTTCGCATGTGTATATGTATAGCTAACATTAGCACACATCCATGCTCATATTACTAATTCGTGTAAATAAATATCCTCACAACAAAGGCGCGCCGTTTAATAATGCCCAAGTAATTGGACAAATCCTACAAGTATGAGCGCAAATTGTTCATTATATGGGATAATTGAGCGTGCGTTTATTAAAATTTTATTATTGTGGGATAATGGTGCATCCATATGCGGCCTCGGCCCAACGAAAATTGCATAAAACATTAGAGTGGGCACCGGGCTGCAGCAACAGCAGCAACGGCAAAGTACGACAAAAATAAAATAAAAGGTAACTCACTTGAAATCATGTATGCCACTTAAATAAGCACATAAATATCGTTAAGAAACAAAAGGCGAACCGACGACGATACCAATCGTTTTTCGGAACAACAATTAACTTGCATCATCGTATGCAACAGTTTCCTGTCCAGAAAGCGAAAGTGCCTAATATAGATGTGCATACATTTTATGCTTGTTATTCTTAAAATAGCAGAAGTAATTTATGCTGGAAATAACTAATATTAACATAGAATGTTTTAAATATTCACTATCATATCTTGATTTGCATTTGTAATTGCCACGGGCACATAGTATATATATAGTAATTATCTAAAAATACAAGTACTTGAAACATTATTAGTTACTTGGTAAGATTATTGATTTGAGAGTCATGAGTAGACAGTTCTATCAACGGGTTACTTCAGGTTTTGACAGAAATGACAGATGCCTTCAACATGCTACCATGAAGCATATCCTCAGCTGGATCAAATGACATTTTCAAACGAAAGACATAAATTCATCGAAAAGCTGATGGATGTGCATCAACATAATTATATTTTTAAAACAATGTCAATTTTTACTGATAAAAATGACGAAAATCATACGATTCTAAATATTAAAAATAAAGTTAAATAAATAAAATTTAAGACTAACTCCATCAGCTACAATAGTAAATAGATTGTAGAAGGATAGGTAAGACAAATGGTATAGTAACGTAATAAATATATAAGCTATTTTAAAATTAATTGTGATAATTTTCACATGTCATTTTACAGTAAAATCTTGAAGTTAAATCGAGGTAACATGATTTAAAATTTTGATATATGTACAAATAGATTGGAATACCAAATATATCAATTATATGTAAATAATATAGAACGAGACATTAAAGTAAAAGCTATCATTCCGATTAGAGAAAGAAGGCCAATACGGATATGTTGATGAAGCCCACACTAATGCTTTGAGTTTGCCCTACAACACTACGGGGATGCATAACTGTCAGCGGATTTGGAGACCTAGTTTTCATAGATGGTAGATAATGGACACATTTAAATATGGATGTGAATATTTTATAGGACAGTTCAATAAAATGTGGGTTAACAAATATATTTTATTTTACATAGGTCAACAACCCAAATACACTATATTATTTTTGTTA